AATTCTTAACGTGAGATGGATGCGAAGACGAATATAACAAGTAATTATGCGAGTCTGTAGGTTTGTAATACACACTAGTGCATAAACCGTTACCTTCAATTGAAACTTTGGTGTCTAAAAAGGATAAAGAATTGTCAGAAATTTCCCAGGTATATTTCAGAGCCGATAAGGGCGGCTCAGTCGTTGTTTGGCGCACCGACCGCTACCAAAAAGAAGCTTTGCGGCAAGCGAGCAAGAGGCATAAATGCGCACTAATAGGTGTTAAGGATTAAGAAAACAGTTTTATTTCGATTCTTGTCACAGCTAATAATAGAAATGTTTCAAAAACTTAGGCATTTTGTGAACCACTTAAATGTCTTACAGCTGAGATGAATAATCGTGAAACAACTATCGTGAGATGAATAATAGTGAAACAACTATCGTGAGATGAATAATAGTGAAACAACTGTTTTAACAGAAAGAGACTGGCTTAGTTTTTCAATAAAGGTCTATGTTGTGTTCAACCTTGAGCTTTCGGATCAGGTCCTTGACACCGTTTTCAATAGCGAGTTGCACAGTGTAATAATGCCTTCCTTTTGCCCATACATCAGTTGCAACATCAATTACCAATCCGTCACAAGCCCAATGGCCTAATGTGATCAGCTCTTTCTCTGTTGTGAAGGAGAACACGCGACCCTTGTAAGTGACCTGAACAGAATAAAAAGCAAAAAACACATATTTTTACAAACGAAAACGAGTCGATAGCGTTCGTGCAGTCAATCCTCTTAGTCATAAATACTGCGACTGATCCTGTACTTTAACTTGATCTCGAGTCCTTTGCCACCTTCTCGTTTTTTGCTGTTTGTTTGTTCTGTTTGTTTTTTTCTTACTTCGATCTACATGCTCTAAGGAATGCTTTCTATTTCACACAGCTTTGAAAGTAAAGCCAAAAGATAAAACTGAAGTGGACGATCATAGTTTGTCACTAAGGGAGAACGTCTGAGGAATTTTAGGAGGAGAGAACGCATGATTTTCAGAGGAAACAGAGGCTGGGGGGGTGATCAGTCGAGGTTAACAGAGTAAAAGGGGGAGACTGTAGAAAATTGACTGCCAATTGTGGTGGAGGGGAGGGGGGGAAGTCATAAGAATATTTCAGAGCCTTCGGTAGATTTTTATCGTGACATTACCAAAATTCATCCTCCCCTCCCCCCTCGATAAATAATGAATGGTCCTAAATGAAACTGCAGCACAAGAATGTATTTGCATATTTCGTTCCATGCGAAGTAATAACTCGTAATAACTAAAGGAAAGTAGAAATGAAAGAAGGAAGAACGTCTAGAGTTCATGAAACCTATAAAAAAATTAGAAAATATGGTAACACGATTAAAATCAAAAGGACACAGAAAATGAAGTTTGTTTTTCGTCGTCCATGACGTGTGTCCGAAACGGAAACATATTCAGAATATGAATCAATCCACGAGGAATAACTAAAAGTAAATCGTGCGATTCAAATCAAGGTTTTCCAAAACCAAGCTGTCTTGTTTTAAGGGTGCTACCTCTGAATAACTACTTTCAGTATAATCCTATGGAAAAGTCAACTGATGAGGCAGAAACATTTTTACGCTCATAAAAATGAATTGAAACACTCGTATTTTTTCTAAAAGTTGATTATGGAAACCACAAGGGAGATCTATCATGCAACTATTAATCTGGTATTTTCTGTTGTCGTTTCCAGCTTTTCTATAATTTCGAGTGAAGGTATAACTCTTTTTTAAGGATGAACACAACTCATTATTATCCAATTGTGCTTCGTAGAGTACAAATAACGCGCGAGACGAGTACAAATATCAAGCGATATTTGTACTCCAGAAATATCCGCGAAATTCGCAACAATTTGGCGTGTTGAATAATAAATCTCTTATGAGACGTTTTGGTGTGTAGTATCGCTGAGTATTTTACGAGTTGTGCCGTATTTTGACGAGCCCGTAGGGCGAGTCAAAATTACAAACAACGAGTAAAAATACTCAGCGATACTACACAATAAAACGTCTAATGAGATATATGTATTTGTTCTATACATTATACAGGATCTAAAGTAAGACACCAACCTGTCCGGTTTCACCATATGCGTACTTGACATTTTTTAGCCAAATTACCAACGTGTCATAGTCATCAAAAACTTTCATCGTTTGTGGCTTGAAAAAATGATGAAAAAAATCCAATCGTTATTTAATAAGATCAGGTAGTTGTAAAAAAGATATTTTTGATTTATTTTGTATAATGTACCTTTTCCATGAATACAACTACAGTTTCTGTCTTGCCCCTCCAACTCACCGTCAACTGTACGTTAGATTAAACAGTTCTTCCGTAACTGCCAGATATCAATGATCTAAGAAAGGCTTATCCTCTAGAGCCCAGATCTCCTCTGATGACACAATAAAAGCGAGGGTCATATCCCAGTCTCCTTCGATTAAATTAAAAAAAAAAAAAAAAAGCGCACACCATAAAGGCCGGAAAGTGTGATTCGCTACAGTCATTCGCCGAGTATGAAGTAATTCAATACTATCGTTTTGCATTCTTATTTCGTTAAACCAGGTTAAAATTTATTCGATGATGGATTCCCCGTAAGAAAAAAAATTAGCTAGTCGTTTCATGCTGCGTTTGCGACGCACTACATACAGTTTGAGATTCATCATTTGTAATGTTCTATTTTCGCACTAATTAGTCGTATCGATTGCGTGTTAAGGTTTATTTCAATTGTACCACAGCTCTTGATAGCACAAGTGTTCTTTATATATACTTTTAACATCGCACACTTAAGCTTGCCTTCCCTTGAAATGGCATGTATGCCCATCTACAGATCCTTTGCCATTCACGAACAAGCTGGCCTCACAGAAACAGCTATCCCGGAGATGAACACCCTTGAAACTGGATGGAAAATATGTTTTTATTCCTTACCTATGACGTGAGACTAAAACTGAAACAAATCAGAATTCAAATCACGCCATAACAAATAACTGAAAGCATGATGTAGTGCAAATTTAGAGGATTGCATGATGTCTGCAGAAAAAGTATTCTTTTCTCATCCTGAATGTCACGGTGAAGGACACAGAAAAAAACTTCTTCTCAAGATTGAAAAAAATTTAATTCAGTATTGTACAAATGCGACACGCCGCTTCAGAGCTGGCGTATCACTTCACTCACTACCTATCGTTTAGCGTGTCATTTTAGCGTGTTCGTGTCTTCATCCTATTCCCGTGGCCTACTTTCCCATCGGAGGGTCACATAACACAACGTGACAAGTTATCTCTACGGAAGGAACGAAACTAGCCCATCACGTGGTGTGAACGCCTGGTTTCAAAACGTTGCTTGACAATCAAATCTTACAAATCTGGTCCATTCAAGCGGATTAGTAAAAATTTATGACCGCCTCTGGTCATAATTCCTTTGCATTCTCCATCATTCCCTGACTAGCTGTCTTTATTAGACACCGGTTAGAAGGTCTCAAGAGAGTAATGGCTCTTACGGTTAACGGTTAATAAGCTTTTGGCCATCTTACGACTAACCATTAATTCAGTCTTTCTGTTGCAAATAACATAATTTTTTACAGCCAATGTTTCTTCGACCAGTGGTTAAAACTTGTCAGTTCTTACGTCAAATGGTTCAATTTTTTTGCCGTTTTATGACTTATGGTTCACCTCATTGAAAGTACGAGACCCTCTTCGATCATAATTGAAAAAGTTAAAAGTTTTGGTACAGCAAGAGAAGTAATATCGAACAATAAACGAATCTAGTATGTTACAGTCCATTGAGAAATTGGACCGCTCTACTTTGTTATTATCCCATGAGATGCAAGTTTGTCAATGAGTTCCTTGACAGCATGTTCAATCGCTCCATGTTTGCTCTGATAATGCTTTGCCTTAACACTGATGCCGCTCTGGATATCCCACGCTATCCCATCATACACCCACTTAAGCTTGTGCACTCTGCCTTCAGCCTTGTATTTTATCAATCTGTCCCTAAAATTTAGCTACGAAAGAAAATGGAAATGACAAAAGTAAGGAAAAGATCATCATTTGCAAAAGACAATTTTCGGTCATACAGAAGAAGGGAAAAATTTGGGTTGCCTTTAACAGAGGGGAGGGGGGGGACAGTACTAAATCTTCCTCTACTCTCGAATTTTTAGCATAATCATAGTGGAAAAGGGGGCAGCGTGGCGGAGAGGGAATCAACGGAGCAATGTAAAATTCCGCAACAAAAGGGAACACAACTAATCATCTTCCCCCCTCCCCCCTCCGTCAAATACACATACGTATCTACTTGTTCAATTATCTCAGACTCACGCTGGAAACAAAGTGGTTTACTCGTGACCAAAAAACGCAAAGGATACGGTTGACTCGAGAAGGAGTATGTGCCTGGCTCGTTAAATGAGCCCCCCCCCCCTGGCCCCCAACACAAAGTGTCAAAACACTCCGCTGGCGGCTATTGACAGGTTTAGGTTTAATTGCATGAAGAGTAGCTAAAGTGGAAAGACATTTCTAACCGGTAATAGTATTCTAATAATACGTTAGCAGATGTAGGGCTTCCTGCTGTTGAATTACAAATAACAAAGGATCGCAAGCAGTTAAGGAATCTCTTTCTCTGCAAGCTTAATCAAAACAACACTGTAAGCTCTCGAAAGTGAAAGTTAATTTCCCTCCGTGTTACTGAGAAGTGGGCCGTGAATTCAAAAATGAAGAGTTTAACCTCAGTGATGATGCTAAGTAGCATGACAAATTTGTCCAATTTAGCTTTATAAACCATCACCACATCGATGTATTCAGACGTATATTTTACGTATTCACTGACCAATGTAGGTTTGTAGTGCTTGTCATAGTTTTCTCTAGTGATATCAAACGCGAAAAGTGACAAATCACCAACCTCTCCAGATTCGCCAGTTAGGAGCAGAAGAGCAGAGTACAAAGTTGCCAACTCTTGAATAACTTTCATGTCTTTCAGGATTTTAGTGTCAAAAAAAGGTTCACCTGTTCGGAACGATTGCAGCATAATCAGTTGACCATGTGATGTATGGGCATTGAATTGAAGCAAAAGCTGTTGACGGAAATACGATCGATGTGCAGCGGTAAAAGTATAACTATCGTCCCTGGATTTATTATATTTCTGTGATCACCGTTTGCTTTCAGTGTCAGGCCAGGCGAGGCTTCTAACGTTTGACAGAAATAACATTTAAACTGTAAAACTTACCTTGAAATAAGGACACCAGATCTGAATCCTCGCATCGAGTTTGATCCGAAATGATACCGGAAGTAGTTCCGGTCTCCCTCATTCGACCACCCTTGATATCTTCGTACCCAGACTTCCGGTCAAGTTCGAAAGGCTCAACCATCAGGTAATCTTAATCTAGGGATGGTTATTATTAAAATGAAAAGAATTAACGATCATGATCACATCATGTGATGGTTCTTTTCGGAGTCCTTTACAGGTGCTTGAATAAATAAATAAATAAATAAATAAATAAATAGATAATCAGTTTATTTAACCCTTTGGTAGTGTTAAACACTAAATTACATGGGAGACAATAAAATTCACTCAATTCTGCACAGAACACAATGCACTTGGCATAACAAGACAAAAACAATTAAGCCTTACTGTAACTGTGAGTAACGAACTTACTAAGGCGGTCTGTTCTGACGAAGCGGAATTGAGAACAGGAAAAACCGGACTTCAACCCGTACCCATGAGCGACATTCGTAGGCTGTGGCAGCAGGTGTACAAGGAAGCCGGAATCATTCATGTTAGATATAAAACGCCTGCAAGCCTCATCACGGCGCGCCAACAGAGTAGGCAAGCCACAGCTCACGAGTGCAGACTCATAAGAGCAATCTTGAAATATAATTCTCAGTGCAGACATCTGAACGCTTTCCACCAACTGAACCAGACCGGCGGGTAACGCGGCCCACACCGGAGATGCAAATTCTAAAATGGGCCGTACCAGACTACAATAAACCTGAATAAGATCTGTTGGTGGGAGGTCTGATTTCCTTAAGGCTCGTAACGCATAGAGCCGCTTGCATGCTTTCTTCACAACATAGTCGCAGTGAATAGACCATGACGAGTTGTGTGACAGATGGGCACTGAGACACTGCCTGACATCTGTAAGGGGGGGTTGATCCGAGGGCTTGTACTGTAAGAAATCTATGCGTAGTTCTTTACATTTGGATGGGTTTAGCTTCCTACCATGACTACTGGCATATAAACAAATATCCCTCGCTACAAAGGGCAACATGCTGGTTGAAGATCTAGGAATAATCTCAAAGACAGACATATCATCTACATACTTTACTCTAGTTTTCCAGTCCTTCACTAGATTATTGACGAGGACTTCGAACAACAGAGGGGCTAGTCTTGTCCCCTGAGGAATACCGCCCCTTGGAATAACACTGTTGGAGAGAAGAGCACAACCAATTTTGACTTGTTGCAACCTACCCGTCAAAAAAGCCCCAATCCATCTAATTAAGGCCTCGTGTACCCCTAAACCACGTAGCTCAGATACCAAAACAAAATGATCCACCAGGTCAAAACCTTTACTAGAATCAGTAAACAAAATACGTGCATAGCAATGGCCGTTGTCAAGCGCTTCCAGGATACAATGTAGCAGTAAACGAGCGCATGCGTGGTTGATCTGCCTGGAAGAGCAAACTGTTTTAGATCAATTTTATCGAAGACCTGATTAAATAGGGGGGCTAACGTGAAACCCTCAATTATTTTAGCTATTTGAGAAGTTAAGGTAACTGGCCTTAAATCGTTCTTAATACAGTTTAGGTGGTGAACATTTCGGGAGGGGTGCGACTAACGACTCCTTGAACTGATAAGAGATGAATCCTTGCCTTAACGAGGCATTATAAATGACAGTAACCGCCGGAGTGAGTTCAAAAGCAAATTCCTTCCAGATCTTGTTAGGAACCGTTGAGGGCCCAGGCGATTTATTATTCTTGACTTGGCGCAGGGCTTTATAGCAGCTAAAGACATCAACAAGGAACTCCCTTGGGACATCAAGGTTATGATCGAGGTCAACACATGTGATGTCTAAGGGAGTGAAATGTGATGTAAGGGCAGACAAAAAGGAGTTGAACTTGTCTGCTAAAGCAGCTGGAGTGGGAGTATCCTCGTCGAGCAGCTGGGTTACCCAATCTGTTTGAGCTATTTGACCAGTAAGGCCTTTTATCTCACGCCACCACCGACTGATGTTACTTTCTTTAAGGGAGGCCACCTTACTATGATAGAGCTTTTGTTTACATTCCATGCATGCCCTCTGCACTTTATTACGCAACTTTTTTGTAGTGCTGCGACTCTTTACCATAGACAACAAGAGCTTTTTGGCGTTTAATGATCAGAGATATCAGCTTGTGTGTAATCAAAAGTTTATCTGAGGAGCAGCATTTAGTACGCTGCACGGGAAGATAGTAGTTGACTACCTCAACCAAGGTAGAATTAAACAAATCATATTTTTCCTGGCATGTGTAAGACCCAAAACATCGGACCAGTCGTATTGTGTAATCCAACGACCAATCACGGATCCTACTAGGCCTGAGATCCCTTTTAGATATAATATTCACAGAAGGGGTTTGATTTGGTGGAGTAGTCCTGGGCCCGATCAACACAGTAAAATGGTCACTTGTGCCAAGTTTGGGCAACTGGAGAGGTGGAGCGAACAAATTGGGTCTGTTCGACAGACACCATTCCAGAGTCCCAGTATCCCTGGTTAAGATGTTAATCAATTGTGATAGGCCAGCAGAATTCTTGGTTTGTCGTTCTGTAATTCCTGTGCTTGTAGGGTTGAAGTCCCCCGTATACTACAGGTAGCCCATCAGGATGCTGTGACAGGAACGAATCAGCGTTGTTCCGATTTAGACCTAGTAAACCTAAGTTCTCAGCAGCTCCATTACTGGGAGGATGGTAGACAACGCCCAGTAAAATGCAGGAAATAGCTCTTGGGAGACGAAATGGTCGTATTTCTAGCCACAGCGAATCAAATTCTGATGATTCATATGAAGGGATCCTCTTGCAAGGTATCTGTGAGTTAACATAAACACAGACACCACCCCAACCATCCACTCTGTCACGTCCATAAGAACAATACCCACTGAGTACTTGGTTGAGTTTAGTTTGAAAGCTTTTGGTATAAACACCAACAAACAATGAACCTCCGGACACAGTTTGTTTTCGAAAGACACAATGTCCTCAGGCCACCATTGATGTTGGAAGAATAGTTTCCCATCAACAAGCTGCTTACATCATCGTTTCGAAGCTGTTTATCTATTTTTTTTTTCTACGCTTAAATTTTACTGATGATAAGAACAAATATAAAGAAAAAACGATCTTATCTGGCCGCGGTTTGGGAAAAATTACTCTCCACTATATTGCTAAAACATTTTATAGTTTAAACTCAGGTTCGATACAATACAATACAACTTATTTATATGGCGTTCGGTTGTTTAATAAAAAAATACATCTCATTATCACGAGCGCGATACAAGAACAAAGGTACCATAAAGTCCGTAGGAGGATTCGAAACTTAGACCTTCGGATTTCGCGGTCAACCATTGAGGAATATAACAGTCTTATACGAGATCAAGCGTTTTGCATCCTGCAAGGATCAGTAGCATCGAAAACTTCATTTGTGTGAACAAATAAGGGCAATAATAAAGTTTTTAGTATCTTAGGTCTGACCGAAAATATCAGAGTTCAACGAGCAAATCTGTAAGCCACAGTGATTTCTCAGGTACAGAAAGTTTTTCACCTAAAAACAAGAACATTATGTTTCGTTAAATCAGTAACCCACAAGTCACCATTCCTGCAAACAGTCACTGCCCAGGGTCTCTGGATTTCTTGATCAAATGAGGCAAGAAACTTCCCATTCAGCGTAAACATATGTAGCTTATTACTGCCACAGACGATCAAGTTATCAAACGCATCCACGGCAAGACCCGAGGGGTATGGCATTTCTTCTTGACTGCCAATATAATAGAGTGGGATACCCTCCTTGTTGAAAACGGTGACGCAATTAGCCATCATATACGACACAAAATAAGTTTCTTGATGATAAACAACACAGCTGGGGGAAGCGTCGCAATCCGGGGCACTGAAGGACTGTAGAAGTTCTGCACCATCCGGGGACAGGACCTTGATTTTATGGTCAGCTGAGTCACACACGATCACATGACTGTCACCGTCAGTTTTGATAAAGATACTGCGTGGATCAATCACGTGCTCACTGAACTGTTCGATAAACTGACCGCCACTGGTAAGGACAGACATCTTTCTTGAGTTTTTATCGCCGTGAATCAGGATCATGTCACTGTTCCTTAAAAATGCTACTGACCATGGCCGTCCCATCTTGACAGCTGTGCCAGTTTGTGATCCCGCCATTCCCCCTATTGTCCTAAGATATTTACAGTCGGCATCAAACAAATGAACGCGCCTATTACGAAAATCTGCTACAGCAATGTCTCCCGTGTTATCGTTCTTCGCAATGTTCCAGGGGAAGTCAAATTCTCCTTCTCCTTGTCCACGTGATCCAAGGGACGTCACCACTCGGTACTTATGTGGCTTCACGTTCACTTTCCAAGGACTACCAGTCAGCGGCCACCCATTCACCACGATTCTGACGTCATGTTGTCCAACACTTTTCGGTATGTAATGCGCTATGTACATTCCATCTTTGCAATCTTTCACATGTGCTTCCTCTTCTCCATCTAGTGACCTGATGGTCACGGTCACTTCTTCTTGTTCGCTATAAAATTGTTTTCCTTCTAAGTCTCGTGTCGTGACTTTAAAGTTAGTTTCGAAGCCCTGTTCAGCCTCTTTCAAACCTTTTCCTTCGGCTTCTGAACGTGAATGATCGTGTGCAACAACTTCACCCAGGGGCAGCTGAAACAGTTGTCTTAGAGCCGATACATTTTCTTTGTTTACAACGTAATTAACATCTTCTGGTTTGTAGAGTTCCAGTTTCTGACACTGATCCAAAAGCTCTTTACAGGGGAGGAAGATAGAATGCTCCTCTTCGAGGATTTCTAGAGCGACGTTTCTTTGGAAAATATCCTCGCCACGTTCGACCGATCTTTTCAGTTCTCTGGCATACATTTGAAATTTTTCTAATTGTGCCACATGATCTTCTTCCTGTGACTCATCAATATGGGTCAATTTTTCCGTCATCATCTTTTCCTGATCTCTTAGCACTTGGACGAGTTCTTCAACAGTTTCGTTCACTTTATTTACTGCGGCGGCGATTCTTGTTTTGCTCTTCTTCCTCAGCTCGCTTTGCTTGTTGACTTTACTCTCGATGGCAATGATTTCTGCTTTAGCATCGTACAAGATCTTTGCCATTGGCGCCTTTCGCTCATCAACAGCTTCTTGTATTTTAACCTTTGTGTGCCTTTTATGACGTATTTGTTGACAATTCTGACAGATGCAAACCTTACATTTCAAGCAATAATGCTCAACTTCTTCGGTCTCGTGGTACTTGCACATTGTACGTCTTCTCAAAACTTTTTCTGATGTAGAGGTTTCACCTTAAAAATAATAGCGACAAAATAGGATGTTTGAACCAATCGATTTGACGTGCTTCAAGAGAATAATTCTTTACAGATTTCCAGAAGTTTTTTGCTTGTAAGTAACAGTTCGTAAAATTATACAAAAATTTTTTTCGTTAAGAGATTTTTTGCTCTGATGTTCAAAATCGACTGTTTTGATTCATATTCATAGCCTGCGTTCGTTTTTGAAAGCCGTCATAAGGCTGTTGCGGCTTGGACGCTTGACGTTTGAAATCGCCCACAAAAGAGCCAGCTATGCAGGCTTATGCGCAACAATAACTCTTTGTGTCAATGTGTTTCATTCATTTATCATAACTGGCGAGCAGGCCATTATATTTGGCGCTTCGGCAAGAGTGGGCGTTCGCCCGCAGGGAAATATGAGAACTTCAGCAACGCGAGCCCGCGAGATCTGCGAGGGGTCTAGTGCCAGACCATAGGTAAACCTCCCCCCGACTCGTCTCCAATTTTCCCGAGGGTGGACTGGGAGAGACGAGTGTGCTGAAAAGCTATGAATAGGGGCATGCCTAGACGCTATACTACTCTTGCGTCTGCTCAAAACATACCTTGATCAGTTGGTTTTTTTGAAGCTGTCAGGACATCAAGCCTTTTCTTTATTTCGTCCAACTGATCTTTAATGCTGTTCTCGTCCTTTTTCCATTGACTCAGTAGTTCCATGTAGTGATCTTCAACTTCAGGGTCCATGCATTCGTTTCTAAGATCATCAATTGCAGCTTCATAAGCAACACCACCCAGTCTGACCAGAGTAACGCGGATGTCACGCCAGTAGTCATTGAACTTGATGTCATCAACAGAAGCTTTCTCAGCGTGACCGTACACGGTGTTCCTAAAATACTTCACTCGGGCAATGTCCGCTTCCCTGCTGAGGTCTGTTACGGTGGGTAAAGCATCCCAGCCAGTCAGCGGAGCAGTTAAGCCGCACAGGTTTCGCAACAGAACCACTAAGAGAGTTGTGTCAAACTCGCGCGAGGACACTGAACTAGGGATTGGAGGGAAAAGTTTTCCCCATTGTATTGGATTGATAATTTTCTTTGCTCTAAGAGACTTCAGAGTGGGTTTGTTTGCCGCCAAAATCGTGTGCAGATTTGCTGGTGGATAGATGGAATCGAATGTTTCTCTGAGGGCCTGGCTTCCAAGACCAACCAGCAGACGGCACAACCTGGCATAGTTTGTTGTCTCTTTTGTGGATGAAGCAGTCGGTGCAGCACTGGCCATAAGTAGTTTCTGTATCAATATCAATGACATGCTAGTTAACTTCACCAGAGTAAATATTGTACTTACTCGAAAAATTTGTAATTTGTAATCAAAAAACCAAAGAATTTGTGACACACTTTGATGATTACGCAAAAAATGCCGCGGTTGCGTGATGAGCAAGAATGAAAATCTTAGTCGAGAAGCTATATTCTTTCCACGAGATATTACTCTCTATCTCTACAAGGAATTAAATTGTGAATGTTTGAAGCTATCAATACTCTGAACAACCATTATACGAAATTTGCATCCACAATTTACTAAACAGGAAATAATGGATGACTGAAATTTACTAACTCTTAGATAACTATGTCTCAAGCAATATTTCACATTTATCACGCAAATACTGCCGTACCAATGAACTATACTCTCAACGAAAAATTCATTTGAGTTGAGCCAAAAAAATTGCAGTTGATCGAAAGGTTGAAAACCCTTCTAACCGCGTCAAAATTCCATAAAATATTTAAACTGATCTGCCAAACATTGATGCTCTGATGAGAAGATTGCGTCCTCTAAGACTTGGAAATTGTTGTCACTTATGTTCTCCATTGGCAATAGTTAAAGACAATCAAGAAAATCCAAACATGAATTATTTAACAAAGCTGCCAAAAGTTGTAATCAATATTGCTAGCAGTAAGAGGAAAATCAGGTAGGATCGCAACGTCCGGTTGATTCTAACAGTAAACCCATAATCGATATCTCTGCCACAAGAGAAAGGTCGATAACTATCACTGATGGAACATAGAGCAATAAAAGATACATACCTGTAATCTCAAAGATATAATGATTGAAAGAAATAATATTATAAGATGAGGGTAAAGCGCAAACAGGAAGTTATACGATAATTGTGTTATTTTTCACGTGATCACTCCTGGGCCAAATCCAATTACGTCTATTTTTAATATAGCCGTCATGGTTGTGCAGGTGATTTAGCGTGTAACCTTTATGGCACGAACAGCGATAAACCGCTGAAGTAATATTCAAAATTAGACTTGTATAATTAATATTTTTCGAAAAGAAATGTCAGCTCTCAAATACTCAGCGAGGTAGTAGATTCTAGTCTATGGAGGATTGATAAATCCTAAAAAAAGAAAATTATCAATCATCTTTGTGGAACGTCGGGGTCAGGGACATACTTCCTGATAAAAATTTAAATCTGGAACTCACGGAGACGACATTTCCAGAATTCTGGGATCGTATTTGAGTAACTTTTTAAAGCCAGTCATTGAAGGCATAATCAGAGCAAAATATCTACTTTGTGTCTTTCGTGACAAATTACGGAGTAGTCGGCGCAAAATGGCCAAGGCCTACTCGGCAACAGATGGATTTCCGCTGCCTTCGAATTCCGGCTTGATATGCTCGAGAACTTTCCTGTTTTTTATACGACAAAGATTTAATATACCGCTGGGCAGTACACTTGAAGCTCGTGGGCTCTCGAACTCGAACGTGGCAGGGAAGGAGCTCAAAATCAAAGGATCGGAGAGCACTTATTTTATTTGAGGTTCATATTTATAGCAAGATTGTGGTAGAAGGCAACTTTTACAACGAGCATCATGATGATGGACGACGATGAAGCCTTGAAAGAGAGTGTATCTAACCTTAGGTCGGCGATACTCCTCCACAGAACCGACATCATTCGGAGCATACTTTCGACAGCTGCAGACTGTAAGAAAATTAATTGTTCTTTTCAGTGTACGACCAGGTCATAAGAGTCTGGTCTAATTCCACCTCTTTTCCTGCATTTAACGAGGTTTAGAATAAATCTGATAATGTTAAACACAGATGATCTTAAGCAGGTAGATTTGATTCAATGATATCCGATAAATACGGTCAATCATAACATAACTTGTATTAGCCGGTATTCGATTTCATATGCATTGTAACTGAAAATCTCAGTCAATTTTAGCTTCATTCTAGTCTTAAAGTGAGTGACATGAGTGAAATCGAAGCTCAAAACTTAATCCACTCCTCGATATATTTCTGAATTTCTGATTTCTTGGTTTGATACATGTAGTTTTACTGAAGTTATGGTGATATTGGCATAGTATTGAGTGCATGTTTGAGCAAAACTGAGAAAATCAAATCAGATCATCATTTCTTACTGAACTCATCAAGTCTAGTCCTGTTCATGATGTTTACTTCTTTGTTTTCCCAAAATGTTTTGAAAATGGATGAGTACAAAGATTGTGTGACAGCTTCCTGGTAAGACATGTCTTAGCAGGCATAAGTCACATTCAGACAACTCCCTTAAAAAATACTCATGCCTCAGAGAGTTTACAAGTGTTGCAGTCTTTTAAACTGTATTTATCTGTATATTTACTGTAATTTATTTATTGTGAGTTAGTGATTTACACTTGTGCATAAAATTCATTTTTTTGTGCTTGCCAAAAAGGTGTTGCTCTCACACCTATGAATTTAAAACTCTGATCCTTCTCCAGCTCACACCAGTGGCCCATAGAAGTTCAGATCATTGCATGTACCTCAAAGTAACACATTTCAGAAAAGTGTTAAAAAAAATTTTGCATAATATAATAGTTGCAGATAAAATTCTTGGCAAGTCTGTAAGGTTTTTAAATCCATCAATGATGGGTAGGGGAGTACCTGAGACAATTTCTGTGTCAAATGTATTCTCTTTCAAAAGTTGTGAGAAACAGCTGGAAATTTGGATTCATTTCATAAATTTCTTCACGTAGGTCACAGTTTAAGATTATGTTTAGGTTCTGTAAGAAAATGCTCAAAGAATAATTTGCTGTAGAGATGATATCACAGCTCTGAATTTTAAAAAAAGTTGGAAGGCATAATTTATCAACAACTGTGTGGGACCATCCAGTACTTCAGTTTACTTGTACATTGTATGTTTGTACATATCACTCACATCATCAGTCAGAACCTGTAACACCCCTTATTATATCTTAAAAACAACTTAAAACATTTCTTTTGGGTAACCTTTCAGCACTGTTATTAGTAGTAGTTTGTATTACTTCATCTAAAGTGCTTTGGTATAATATAATTATAGTTTTAATCCTATTATTATTATCATGAAATTAAATAGACAGGGAAGAGGATGGACTCTTTGGTGACGATGAAGAAGAAGAAGCACAGTTGGGTGTTCCTAAACAGTTTTATTATGATGAATATGATGATCCTTATGATATTCTAAAGATGATGATGAACTATGTCGACAATGATGCTGGTACATGTCTCCATCTTGCTACTAAGGTGAGTTTGGAAGAAAATCAAAAATATGCTGTTAGCTTTCTGTGTACAATTTCTAAATTTTTCCTGGGTGTAAATTTGAAAAAAAAAACAAAAGTTTTCTTTTATTCCTTTGACCTTTGACCTCTGAGAGTGACCAGCATGTAATTTCTCCTTACATTATCAGCTCTGAAACAAACAGAAAGGTAATGAGAGTAAAGGAAATGATCACCAACTAAAGAAATCCTTGATTGTTAAACAAATTTTACCAGTCAACATCTTAGGAAGAGAACAGGAAAGATTAGGAAATGGTTTAAAAAAAATCCTATCAGGATAAAAAAATTGTTTTAATGTAATTCCTTTGTATACCTTACAGCTCAGTTATACAGATGCAGTAAGGGCTTTGCTAGCGGCTGGATCTGATCCAACCATTCCAAACAATGAAGGAGCAACATCATTTGACTACTGTACAGACAAGTCAATCTTGGGAGTTTACAATGAGGAACTACTCCAGGCTACTGCAAACTCAAAGTAAGTATTGAAGTATTTTAATTATGCTAGTAGGTATATTACCCACACCATTACTCAAGATTCACTGTGAGTTTGTCAGTACCCATTGGATATAATATGTTGCAGGTAAAAATGAAATTCAGGTAAAAAAAAAATTTAGCCTACATTGAATTTCAATTCCCTTTGTCTCGGAGCCCTAATTGTGAATAATTAGGGTTAGGAGACAAAGGAAATTGATTTTCAACCTAGGTTAAAATTTTTTTACCTGAATTTAATTTTTACCTGCAACATATACTCTAAAGTGCAGAGAGGCACTCTGATAGGAAAGTACCTAATGTTGAACCTGAAGTTTTCAATGTAAACTCTAGTAGACCACATGTAATTGAGCAATACTGTATTGCTACACAGAGAGCATCCCCATATAAATTTACATGTACTTGTGTTGAGCTCAGTTTTGGATGATTTTTTTCAAGAAATGGCATATTCCAAGAACTGAGTCCCTATGTATGTGAAATGGCAAGAGAACGTGACCTTCACATTGCTGTGAATTTTGTTCACTTGTACTGGTGATGTCTCCATTCTAAGTGGCCCTTGATTGCATCCTATTAATTTTCATACATTAATTAATTAATCAATGAGCGATTGATACTATCCATCCTAACCAAGTTCATTTATTCATAATCCTCAGTACGCCCAGGGTCCGTAAATTGTTGAAGGCAGGAGTCAGTGTGAACGCCAGTGATGGAGCAGCAAGTGATAACAAGGCACTCCACTGGGCTGCGAGCTATGGAAATGTAGACATTGTAAAACTTCTTTGTGGTCAGTTGGTGATACTGAGTGTTCTCAGAGCTTGACACTAACTTTTCAACTTACTAGCCAAGTGACTAGTGGCATCTTAGATGTTATGACAATTTCAGTTTGTTTACTCTAGCCAAACTGGCTATTGGAAATGGAAAACCACGAGCCAAAACTGAATTTATACTAGTCTGTGGCTAGTGGGCTACCATTAGTGTTGAGTCCTGGGCCCGGTTGTTCAAAAGAGAGTTAAGTCTAAACCTGAGGTTAAATCGGCCTAACCCTGGGTTAGATTTTAAGCGGAGGTTCGTTGCGTTGTTCAACGGAAGGTTAACACTAACCTCGGGTTAAACGATGGGTTAAGTTTAACCCACCATGTGAGCGGGTTTAAATTGTTAAACTCCAGTTAAATCGGGAATAAAGATGGCAGACTTGTTGTTTTGCGATTTATGCAGAAGGTGACAACGAGAAAGGAGATTTAGAGCCGGAACTCAGTGTAAAATCGATGATTTCACAGACGAAGAGCTGCATGCTTGTTACCGCTTACAACGAGAGTCTATTTTATTTATTACCAATCTTGTTGCCGGTGATATCAGTCACAACGCTTGACGGAATCACGCCTTACCGCGGCTCCATCAAGTTTTAATTTCCCTCAGGTTTTGCCTGTGACTGCAAGTTTTGCCACTTATCGCGAACTTCGGCTGTTGTCCGCATTGCCACACCAACAGCATTTACAGCATTGGCGATTTTTTCCACATTTAATTTTTTTTCTGATTGGTGATGCTGTTGGTAAACTTGCTTTGTATCAGCGAAAGGTTTTCTTCGACTTTTTCTGCCAAAAGCGGCAATTTTTGAAGCACTAAAATTTTGTTTTTGAACTTTTCGTGAGATAACTGAGGAAGCCATTTTGCTTCGAACAACACAATTTTAACAGCAAGTTAACAAACTCACGGTTAGGAAATTTAACCTCCAGTTAGGCCTAACCAGAGGTTAGTTTAACCTGTCTTTTGAACAACTGGGCCCTGGTTCTGTTGATACATGGTCTCTATCCTCTTTACTCACACAAACCTCTGCAGTGAAAAAAATGGCCTATGGTCTACCTAAAATGTTCTTCAGATCAACTAACTCTTACTAGGGTATGAACCACTAAGGTAAAGGTAAAGCCTTCTTACAAGCCATGTGGCTCACAGGCTGGCGCTTAACTCCGGTTTCCGTGGCATGAAGTGGCTAGGAGGGATGGAATGCTAGTCCATCACAGGGTTACCCCCAGCATTAAATTCACTGGTACCCATTTAATTCTCCTGGGTGAAGAGAGGCACTGTGGAGTAAAGTGTCTTGCCCAAGAACACAACACAATGTCCCCACCCAGGGCTTGAAACTGGACCACTTGATCCGGAGTCGAGCGCAATAACCATGAGACCACCGCGCCTCTACAACCACTAAGGAATAAAGTAACTAATGTTCATAATAAAACAGATTTTAGAAGCAAACAATGAAGAAGAGAGCTTTTGACTAGGCAATAATACAATTATATGAACTTGGATTTCACTGTGTACACACAGAACATGAAGCTGATGTAAACATCACTAACAAAGCTGGAGTAACTCCACTTCATGATGCTGTCAATAGAGGGGATTTAGACATTGTTAGAATCTTGCTGGAATATGGAGCAGCAACAGATATGAAAGCTAGAGAAGGGTGAGTAATTATAGCTAATTAATGATGAGTCTATTGGTTGATATTAAGTTGTTAATAATGATATCAACGTTCCTGGACTATCTGGTAGTCTACTAGATGCTTAATGTTTTTGTTGTAAAATGTGGGTTTTCTTTCTAGTAATTACAAGTGAAGAACAATTTAATTTTTTTTCTTCTGTTGAAAAAGAGGCTTTCTGTAAAAGAATGGTTGTATTTTTGCGTATCAAAAAACTGCATTTGAAAAACATGAAACATTTGTTTTGTTCCAGACCATGCAAAGGAAAAACAGCACTTAATTTAGTTACTACTGTGGAAATGCAAGAATTGCTAACATCACCTGTCCTAAGGGAAGAAAAAACTGTCACAAATGGAGCTGCCTCTCAACAGGCCTTGGATTCAGGTACATGTACATCAGTGTGTGACAGAATGTAATTGTTGCTTAATCAAACTAATTCTCAATTAATTTGAATATATCAATAAAGTTGAAGTGGTAAATTGGCCACCATTACGATTATAAAAGCTGACGTTTCGAGCGTTAGCCCTTTGTTGGAGCAAATAGAGGAATTGTGGGTTGTGTGTGCTTTTAAAAGCAGAAAATGGAGCTACGTTATTGGTGGGAACATGGCAATGCTCGAAGGGCTAATGCTTGAAAACGTCAGCTTTTATAATCGTAACAGTGGCCAATTTACCATTTCAACGTTGTTGATATATTCAGATTATTTCGTTACCCCCCACCAACACAGCCCCAAACACTTTCTTTAGAAACTATCAGCCTTAATTCTCAATTACTTTTAGTGAGTGCTTTTAATGTCCTAAACATTTTTAATTCCATACTACAGAATCACTGCCATCAGAGACCAGCCCTCTACCTCTATCAGCAGCAAGCAGTCCCTCTCTCCCATCCACACCCTCCTTCAAATCTCGTCTACAGACACTCTCGGGAATAACCCCACCAGCTAACAGTGATACTCTGGATCCCATGTTTCTTCTTGTCTGGCCACACCCTCAAGTAATCACCCAAATGAAGGGTGCAAGGTTCTTCCCCACATCTGTCCTTCCAGTTGTGATATTTAGGGAGTTAAAATCAGGTAAGGTAATTTCAAAATCTTAACACACTTGTTCTTTTTGTAGTGGTCTGTTTGTTTGTTTGTTTATATGTGCAAAGTGATTTATGAATCGTACAATTGATAATTAATGTTTAAAATCCCTGTATGTCTTAATTGCTATTTTCTGACGACAATGTTCAGACTCTTTTAAATATCAGCAAAAGCAATTCCTGATTTGAATTAGTACAGGAAAATGGTACAAATATTAAGAATGGCATAACTGAATAAAATCTTGCATCCTGATTGGTTAATGAAGCAAGTTATTTAGCGTGGACTAGCAAATTGAAAGCAAGGCAAAGTGATATTGTTTTGCATCTGAGCATGTATTCGGGATAAAAGCAAACAATATCGTTGCTGTTTTCATTTTGTCTTATTTTCTTATATTCAATGATGTGATTGAAGGAAAATCCATTACCTGATTTGTGAATTCCGCATTAAATTGCACTTGAAAACTGATATTGCACTCATTGCTTTGTAATTCATGCAATATCTGTTTTTGTGTGTAATTTTATGCAGAAGTCCTTCACCAGGTGATGAATTTCCTATAGTAAAATAAGGGATAGAGAGTTTGATGCAAGGTTTATGGTATCTTACTTGCATATACAAGACATGTCTTTTACAGTGGAATTTCCCTTGCCAGTAGGAATGCAGATAAAAAAAAAACATTGGTTAATCCAGGTACTGACTTTAATGAACCATTCACAGATAACTTTCAAGAAATTGTTGAGATTTGGAACACAATGGAAGAGAGTTTTCAGCAGGTTGGATATTCCTTGGACCTGAAGGTCCTGGGAGAGGGTAAGAGACATGCAATTGATTCAGAAAACTGCCTTGATAAAACAAAGTTTTATTTTGTAAGTAGCTAGGCTGTGAAGTTTTTCTTCTCCTCCTGAATTGATCACTAAAGCACAGTGCAGCCTTCTGCAGGTAAAAGAAATTGTACGTTTTTTATTCTTTTGTGAAAAATTTTTGTGATTGAATTCTTGACAATGAATGAATACTCCCTAGGGGGAAGGAGTTGATCACCATCTAGCTGTCAAAAGAGTGAAATGATGAGATTTGCATATAGCTATGCTATGCAAGCTGAAAAGAAAATCGTAACAACTTGTACAGGACTTCAACAGCTGAATGTCACTTGACAACAGTGAGGGATCACTGACTACCAGAAGGGTTTTCAATAGTTATTTTATAATATGGAAAAGGCTTTCCAACCCCAGTTATGCTTTTTTGTTCTCTTGGTAATTCGTGTCTTTTTGCTAACCCCTTCACCATGTCTCTTTGTCCATGTGTGTTTTCTGTTCAAACCCACAGCCTCTGCAAGGAGAGGGAGTGTTGCAAGTAGCATAGAATGTCATGTGTGTCCCCACTCCTTCAACAAGTCAGAAAGTTATAGGATTACTATTTCAACTGTTAAGGTAAATAGTATATACAGCTATTTGGTTGTTGCTTTTCCTTGTCGGTGATTGGTCAGAAAAACTCGCGTCATTCCCCGGTGAATAATATGCTAAACTAAGCTCTCTTTCGTTTTTCGCGGTTAAAGCCACTGACCTTTACTTACTGTTGTGGCTATCTTCCCTCTGAAGACCCACCTTATACTTATAATTTTACTATCAACAGGTTGCTATAACTGCAGGTGATCTCTCAGGGTTGTGGTATGCTGTAAACACTTTACTTCAGATATTTCGACTTTTCCATGGAAAAGGGATACCACAAGTACAGGTGACGTAATCATGTCTAAGTCACGTACGCGTATATTTTACGATATGGGTGTTTTTTTCGACACTGTTGTAGAAAACCAGAAGGGTCGAGAGGTCCTGGTTCGAGCCTTAGTCGCCTTAATTATGTTGAATCGACACTTTTCTGTCGAAGTACCAGATTCCACCCGGGAGTGTAAAAATGGTTACCAGGATAAACTTACGAAATGCTGGGGGGAGGGGTAACCTGATATGGGGGGGGAGGGTTCTAGTTCAGGCGTGACCTTAAGTTCATGTATTCAACTAGTACATGTAGCACATGTGTTGAACTAGTTACCTTGTTTATGGGTTTAGATCAACGATTGGCCAGACTTAAAATTCAGAGGAGTGTTATGGGATGTTTCAACAGGACGCGTTCCAACATTAGTAAGTATATGGACATTTTTCATTTAAAAAAATGTTCTCTTCTTATTAGAAACATTAATCTGAGCGCCGCACAAAGTCTTTTATAAGAAAGCGTCACCAGGATTCCTCGTAAATTTATATACTAACCGGGTAACCCCTAACTGGGTTCAAGTAGTGGTGTCACCTTTGTTAGGAATGAGTAATGAGGCGGAAGGGAACGACATTTCACAGACCAACAATTTTGTCGATGCTGTGAGAGAATGTCGCAAAAACATTCGGCATTCCGCCCGATGCAAGTTTGATCGTTTCCCAAATATATGTAAACCAAAAATTGAATCTCTGTGATTAGCCTTTGCCCTTTGAGAAAGTTCTGTTCCTTCTCGCCTCTGGACTTTTCACTCCAAATCAGTCAAGAAAATTTTCAGTTTTTATTAACCTGAAACCCTTCAGCAGTGAATTTTGTCAATTCTCCTTACCAGTTTGATGGAAATATACTGACATCGTACAGAGAAGTGACATGTTGGTCACTTCTTGGAGTCAAAAGTCAATATCTTACAAGTCCTGTTGTTTCTTTTCCATTCAGGAAACAGTGTTTTCTTTCATCGACATTTTGTCGGCCATGAAAATCAACCAGCTACAATTATACATGCAAAACACATTTTCCTTTGCTGGACACGAAACAATTTGGAGAAACAACACGGCTTATGACGCAAGGTGAGTAGTCGTAACTGTAACATGTCATTCTGTTGTGTGAGGCGTGGTAGCCATTTTTTAGTCTGCACTTTCCATGGACTCTGAATAGTATCAGTCCTAATTTGAGACCTGGCCAAGTCATTGTGTTTTGTAGTTGTTGTTGTTGTTGTTCTTTTTTTCGGAAAGACACTCGGAATATCGCAACGCCTCTCTCCACTTAGGCGCGTAAATGGGAATCCGCGAGTAAAATTAAAAGGAGAGGGGTGGGGGGGAGTTGGTTGAAGGGAATATACTACGATGGACCTGCGGGAGGGGTGGGGGGTGGAAGGAGTACACTACGATGGACAGCAAGGGGGGAGGCGGAGGGAGTATGCCATGATGGAGCTGCATTTCCATTCAGAAGACCGAATGAAACTTCGCTATACAATCTGAAAAGCCTAAAAGGAAACCCTCTCTGGTGTTTCTTTCTTTACAGTAAATACTTACATGGAACTACTGTTTTCTATTAATCTTTTTCTCATTTAGTTTCATTGTTAAATTTTCTGTCTATTTTCGTTCTAGTTGTCGTTTGTGTGTTTCTTATTTTTTATTTTAATGATTGTTCTACAGTGATATCATCAAAATAGACAGCTACTGTAAAAGAAGATATATTGAACTTGTGCCCCATGTTGATAGTTTATCTGGATTCAGTCAGTGGTGGGTACAGAACTTTGTTACTGTTCACGAAATCGAAACGCTATATACTTTAGTACAACTTTGATTCATACGCAAATGTACTGGGCTTGGCGGTGTTTTAAGTTCACCCTGTTTTCTACGTTTCCTGCAGTTTGCCTTGAGTGTTACTTTCCGGTTTGTGTTTGTGACAACCATCTGCAAATCATTCGGAGGAATAAAATTTTTTACAAGTTAACTCCGTCAAAAAAAAGATTAAAATGTTGTAATGTATCGATTGGATCCGGGGTTTCCTTTCCGTTAGCTGTTGGTAAGCGTTTCCTCGCACCTGTCTACTGCTGTAATGGCCGCTAGTGTTACTCATTTAGATAAACGAACAGCTTGAAAAGTGCGCTCAATTACATCAGCTTGTGATGGTCAAACATTGATTTTTATGAAGGAGGCGGCGTGGCCGAGTGGTTAGGGTGCTGGACTTGTAATCCGGTGTCCTGGGTTCAAGTCCTCCACCCTGCCACTCACTGGATTTTTTCTCGGTTGCCCCTGGTTCAACTCCTCGGCTGCGCTCTGTAAATAGCCCACTGGTCTGCCTCCTGCCAGTGGGGATTTTTAAGCTCTTAGTTTAGTCTACATTGTGGCTGAAAAGCCCCTAAGGGGGAGCCTCAATTAACGTATATTATTATTATTATCATTTATTATTTATTACGTAAGAATTCTCCTTTTTCGCAGGCTGAAGTTCAAAATGTATAGACACCTAGCAGAGGAAGAAGTTGATTTCGATCCTCGCCAACAAAGGTATAGAAACTCCGTTCTTATCCTCTCCACCTTTGTTTCTTCTTGGTATGATTATTGCCTCATTTGTGTTTCTCTCTCTTTTACTGAACTAATATTTCGAATTCTTTTCCAAACTCGAGCAATTCTTGAGCTTTGCAAAAAAGAAAACAAAGAACTCAAATGATCGTGATTGGCTGGCTTCTCTATTGCGATAGTTCCTTTATCTCTGAGCGTACTTTCTATATTTTCTTGATAATGTAGACTGCCATCCTGTCTCTGTCCCACAAGTGATGAGAGCATGACAATGGTTCTTGGTCTTCATACGCAGATGTTTCCATGTTTTTCATCTACAAGGTGAAGAGAACTAACTAAACACTACATCTGTAAGGACGGTGAGACGATGAAACCAATCAAGTCTTTTATTATCTATTGATACACGTAGGAAAGTATCAGTGTATTTGCCATAAATAGAGATTGGAAATTAAAAATACTGACTATGGTTTAAAGTGCACAAAATCGAATATTGGTCAGTAGTGCCCAAAATTGAAAAACGTTCCACTAGTGTCCAAAATGAAAAAATCGGCCACTAGTTGCCGATTTTGGATTTTGGACACCACTGGCCGTTTTCTGATTTGGACACTAGTAGCCGTTTTCCAATTTTGGACATTCGTGGCCGATTATTCGATCTTAGACAAGAGTAGCCGATTTAGGATTTTTGGACACTAGTGGCCAATTTTTAGATTTTTGGATGCCATTGGCCGATTTGCGATTTTGGACGCTAGTGGCTGATTTTAGATTTTCAACGCCAGTGTCCGATATCCGACTTTGGACACTAGTGGCTGATTTCCAATTATGGACACCAGTAGCCGATTTTGGACACTAGTGGCCAATTTTGGATTTTGGACACTAACTCGGCGCTTGTGTCATTCAGGTTTGCTCACGTTGGCTTGGACTTGGCACCAGAATTCGGAAAAGGAAAATCACATGTGATAGCACAGGTAGTTTTCTGACACAATATTTTTCTCCTTTAGTCATCATGTTCGTGGCAGCGACTCACCTTTGAATAATCTTCATTTTTCAGAACTGGCTGATCAGACCATTATGTTCGATAACAGACGGTCTAGCCAGATTAGCAGTGTCCTTTATTTGAGGCCTATTAGGTTCTGGGTCCACTGCTCATGAATTTCTGTCAGCTTTGAGTGACTAATATTGATAATCACCATCTTCTGGTGTTGGAAAAGTGGTGGAGAACAACACATGCACCCGTTCTCCAAAGGAATTAATTTTTTTTGCTTGATAATCCAGGCCTGATAAATGGCAAAAGCCTCTAGATTCTGACTGTTCTTTTCAGGCAAAAGGAGTTGACGAGGTTTACATTGGTCATCTCAGATCCGTCCACAGATCTTGTTGCAAACACAGTCGGACGCTTCAGTTTTGGGCCAACGCCCTCCACGATGACCCCGAGCAACTGTGGAATGTTCCTCCTGGGGTGATAGCCATGGAATATGGACACACCGTACTTATAGCAGTTTCATGTTTGATTTATTTGTATTGAAATTCTCTTAGTTGGAAGACATTATACAAGCCCTTTTGAGACGTATAAAGCTTTAAATGCGAGATAAAGGAACCTTGTTCGATAGCCACGGTAAAATTGTGCGTCGAAACACCCATGCTGCACGCATACTTGCCTCGCCCTCTTACAGCGTATATAATAATTGTAGGCTTGTTTTTACATCTTTGTTTTTAGGTTCATCACGACTTTTTGAAATATTGCAAACCACTATCCGATGCTGGGTGAGTATCCACACTTAAAAGTCTGGTATCAAGTCTAAAGTTGATGATACTGTGATAAGTAACTTTAAGATTTAAATGACACTTTTGTCGTCTCAATTTCAGCGTGAGCTTTTTTGTCTGCCCAGGAACGGGATCTTGGAATAGGTGAGCCTTTCAATGTGTGCCTTATTTCTTTTATATGTTTCCTCTCCAAAATTATGGCTCTTAAAGATGAAATTATAAACGGACTCGGTAAGGTCAAGAATAACCCGCTCGTGCGTTCCGTTTGTGAACGATTTTTTTCAGTGTTTGTGGAAACACAGAAGAGAGTATTACAGTGATGAACAATGCAGTTCAAGCAGCGGTTACCTCCAACGCTTTAGGTGTCCTCATCTGTGATTGGTCCTTACCTGGTCACGTGAATCCACTGAGTGTTAGCATCCCAGCATTGCTTGCGGGTGCGGGGTTAGCGTGGAAGTCTTCCTTGGATTTGGTTAGTTTCCTGTGCAGTTACTCAGAAAGCTTTGTTTCCGCAGAATTATTAAACTTTTCACAAATTTTGCAAAAAGTATCTTATTTCGTGAAATTCCATGAGATTCTCTAAATACAATTTGTACCCTCCCAGTCTACCATGAGGTCTTCTCTTCCCGATGTTCTTAGTCACCACGTGTTCATGGACTCATCCGGGATATTTGGTCGAGCACTCATGGACCTTGGCACTACACATTCTAATTTAATCAAAGATGGTTCGCTGGAGTCACGTGTCCCTGCTGACAACAAAAGGGTTCATCCTGTTGCGCAAGGTCCGGGAAGTCAGCTGCTGTGGCGATTGCTTGAGACTGAAGGCTCGTGTAATCTCGACAAAGTTACTTCGGACAGTTTACAGGTACGACTAAAATTTACATTTTCTTATTTCTGGGTATGTGAAGTTGTTGTAGCTGTGCTTTGCACCAAGTCAAACGGCCATCACAGAGAAATTTCAGGCAATAATTAAACTCCTCTTCATTTCTTCTTCTTGTTAAATTGCGCCTTGGAGAAAAATAACAAACAAAGCCTCGAAGAGGGCGTGGATAAAAAAAAAATTACCGGCTTCGTCTAAATAATCAGTGCGGTAGTTGAGGTACTCTGTAATTGTACTAATCTTTATACTCATATATTTTTCACAAACCACATTCTCACTAGTCCGATTAAAGAGTGATATTTTCCCATTTTACAGAGAGCTGTGCGCCAGATACGAAACTGTCATAAGACGTTCATAGCAGCGGAACTCAAATGTAAACAGAAAACAGAGATTGTAAAGGAACTCGACGTTTTGGTTGAAATATTACTATTTACCACCAGGTGCAGTATCCCTTATTTACTTGTTCATTCATTCATTTATTCATCATTTTATAATTTTATCATTTAATTTTACCTTTGATGGAGCCAGTAATAAGCAGCAAGAAGATTCCACAGTAGCGCTCGTGTACAGTTTGTTCTAATATGCCTCTGTTTCAAATTGAAAAACGTCTTTAACTTTGATTTTACCTCATTTATCGTCATTGTTTTGCAAAACTGTTATGGTTTAAATTGTAAGAGTTTGTAAATAGTTTCTGAAAAACCTCACGAGGATGTTACTATTAAAGATGATGATGATGGTTAAATTTAAATTCCAGCAAAAAGTACAACGTTTGCCGCACCAATCTAATTTAAATGGCGGCTGTTACTTTGGGACATATAAATGTACTTTGGAAGAACGAGCGCCCGCTCCAGTCTACAGAACATAACATTTAACTTAGGTTCGAATCTGGGTGGGAATCTGTTTCCAGGTTGTAACTTCACCACTGTCTTGTATCACCGTACTTACGTGGTCTTAACATTACTTAAGCCATTTTCTCTAACTTTTCTGTTTGTGACATTTTTTCTAGGATTTGTCGGTCGCTGATTTTAAACAGAAAGCAGAATTCAAGCACCTCTCTTGAGGATCTTCCGGCCATCACCAAAACAGACTTAGCAAACAAGTTAGTTAAACATATTATGGCACTTCTGGAAAACTCTGTATTATGTATCTGAGCGTCTGCTTGGACATGTTAAATTCCACTTAGACCTACTTTTATCAGTTTCCCCGACCTCCACACTGTCAACCCCAACCTCGTTCCCAGGGTCTCTCATCTTCCCGCTCCAGGGGACTCGAAGATGAGAGACCCTGGGAACGAGGTTGTGTCAACCCTACTTCACGTAAAACTAAAACAATCTCTTCTTATTTGAGTCGTTTTTATTGACAAAACTAGTTTTATTTACGCTGTCCGCTTTTACATTGCTTCCACTCAGAAGATCAGGTTGAGGTTGGCCCTAGCGTGAGCATCTCGAAAAACACTGTTGATCGAGAACCAACCTCACAGTACTCACTAACTTCACTAGGATGAACTTTTGACATATTCCAGTTCCATTTCCTCCTATTGTCATGTATGGGGTGGTGTAGTGTCGCATCTTTGAGCGTGATTGGGTTCTGGTAATAAATGTGCACGACTGTGCCTGAGTGCGAATACTTCTCTTGTTAAGAGTGTTTACGCAAATCATGCGATTTGTGATATTAAGCGACCTACCAGTTAGTAACATGATTATTCGTCCATTTTCAGACTGTTGGCGCTTCTAGATATTTACCAGAAGGCTTACCTCTTACGAAACAAACATGGCGGACTTCTCAGTGCCTTGCAGCTTCTTCAAAACTTCCTGCAACATCTGCTTCCCAAGGACGCAAATTGAATAAGTCTCTAAATACCTTACGTCTTTTAAAATAATATAAATTAAAAGAATCAATCAAAATTATCCCTGGCTTCGAAGATGTAAATATTTAAACCTTGACCACATTTTCTTTTCAATTAAAAGCCAATTTCGCGATGAACTTTACAATTTGAGGAAATCTCACCCCAGATTGCAGATTCGTACAAGTACCCTTGGACAAAATTTGAAAGGACAGAGGAAAAGAAATTTGAAATGCCAGGTCATCCCTCTGTGTTGGCAATTTTGTTCAAAGATGAAGAAAATAAAAGTATTTGAATATGTTCTATTTGTTTTTCTTTGAAACCATAGTACGAAATGGTCACATCGTCATCTTTTTTTTTTATAAAAAATAAGAAACAAAACATATCCTTGGGGATTTGGTGTGGGGCCTGGGGCGTGGGATGAGGTAGAGCGGAGGGGTGGGAGGGAATACGCGGTGAGATGATACTGTTAGCTCACAATGTACACCCCTTATTCCACCAAGAGTGGGGTAAGTTTTTTTTGAAAATTGGATCATAAAGGAATACACAGGCTATGAGTCAATTTAGAACGATTTAATTTTTCGCTTTAAACTATTTTTTTAATGACAAATATAATTCAACATGAATATAAAATTGTAGTTTGAGGGAACAAACCCCAGGATCATGTCTCCTTTGTTACCATTGACATTGTGATTTTGCCATTTTATGATAAAAAGAGAAATCAGTTTGTGGTCACACTTGGTCTGTACTTAAAGTGGCAAACAAAAAAAAAGCGACGTACTGATGCAATGTAAACAATTCATTTAACTTTAAGAACATCTTGGGAATGTTTTCAGGCTAAAATTGCAGAAAAAATTATAGTGAATTAATGAAAATGTTCACCTTCATTCCCAAACTTGACATTCTGATATAAATGGGAGACTGCAAGCACAATAATCTGCTTGTCTCTTGGTAAGAAGTCTATCTTCAACCCCTGGTTGTCCATTTTATTAAATTACTTGATTGCCGGAGAACGTGTTTCTACGATAACCAAACACGCTTCCAGCTCATTTGACATCACACAACAAATTGATGGATGAGAAGCAAAACACTATACACAGGAATGCTTAGGTCAGCTCGTTTATTTAAACAACCGAGCAAAAATACTTGCATTTGACATAAAAGTAAGATGGACATTAAGATAGTTAAGGATTTCTAGTCTTGCAAATATCTTTCCGTGAACACTCGACTCTCGTTTGATTTCTTGATTGTGTACATGTAGCCTTCTATGCGGTATTCTTGATAATCTTTTCCTAATTGAGCTGCTTATCATCTACTCATCACTCGTTTGCTCGAGAATGTGTTTATAGCATCAAGTAAATTAACATGTTTATCACTTCTGGGAGACAGGCTACCAGTGCAACCCCGTTTCCAGATTCCTCCAAACGTTTGTGAGGCTAAGACCATGGAAACGAGGTTGAACGGACATCGCCAAAGAAGGTTGCAGTACGTTTCCTGAGGTTAATAATATAATGAAACCCAGATAATCTAACAAATTTTAAGATCACTGGGTAGTAGCGTATGTTTCTGTTGCGTTGTTCAAGTTATTTCAGGGAATTTCGTGACTACCAATTAAACTGTAACCTATCAAAAGTTCACAAACTCGAGTCGAGGACACAAATAAGAGAACTAACGAAAGAAACCCTTCATCTCAATGCTAATTCTCGAATATTTGGTTTTAAGTGAAGATTAAGTCCATCTGTCAGTCAGGAGAATCTAACAATAAACACGTCAGAGAGTCGCAGGGTTAAGAGTTTTCAAGTGTTTTTGCCTTGTGGAAATGAGCTGTCTGGGAAATTCAACCTTAATCTTTAAAGAGCCTGGAGTCTACCCAAAAGGAAAAAAAGAAATAAAGTAAAAGAACTTAACTCCACAATCATGGAACTGAGTATTGGAGCATATTTACATCACTTTAAATAGTTCTTTTTTTTTTTTTTTCATTAATTCAAGAATACAAAGATGAAAAGTACAACTAAGATTCGACAACAAATACTATAAGAACAGGATCATTTGACCAACCCCAGCTTCTTGGCCTCTGTTTCGTAGATAAGAAGGCGCCACATCTTTACCACAAAGACCTCCGCTTCCTCATCTAAGACCTGTGGAAAGGGGAAGAAGAAACAAAACAAACTTACATTCACGTCTTTACGTTCTAACTCTTATCTTTAACCAAGTTCTGATTAGTAATTCTCCATTGTAACAGCTATATATTTCCTGGCAAATGAGTAATGGGAATTTGGCAAGAAAGAGAAACCCAAATACTCTTTAAGTTGTTCCATTCACAAAGTGAAGTCTCTGTGACAAACTACAATCTTTTCCTGGTCATATAATTTCGGCTGTAACCCCCCCCCCCCTATCTCGAATATTTATAACTTATAACATTGGCAAAAACATGATGAATGTTGACATCCGTTGTAATCTTACGAACCCCTTTGACATTAGATAGTTTTCATCTAATCATAACCTTAACCAAGAAAAACAGCTCCGCTTACCATAGAGACGTCCTCAAGAATGTGTTTCGGCGAACTTCTAGCTATGACCTGAAAAAAAAAAAAAACTCAATGAAGATCAAAGACAAAAACAAACATTTTAGGGCCAGGACCAATCACGTTTTTTATTTCGGTTTTACTGCAATCGACTAAAAACCGCTCCATTAACCCTTCAACCCCCACGACTGATCAAGACAGCATTTCTCCTTAAAATATGAAAACAATATCAAGCAGGTAGGTGATCACAATGAAGAAAAATATCCATTGATTAATAGTTGATCCAATACCAAATTCTACAAGCTAACATCATAAGAATTGTGTGGATACACTAAGGAGAATTACTAACGAGACCCCCTTGGGAGTCAAATGGTTAACGTATATTTAAGAATGTCTTACCTTACTACAAATGAAATCTGTTAAAGTCAGCTCCTCTTCGCCAATGTACTCTATGATTTTCTTATTAACCCAAGGACGTATCCTACGATCTACAAGACCCTAAAATAAACCACTTAAAAGTTTAGAAATAGAATCGTATACGTAATCTCAGCCTTACCCCAGATCTCACTCGAAAACCTACATGTATGTATACCCATTACTGGCGCAAGAATTGGGGTTCAGCCCTACTGTTAGTTAGTGATATAAACAAAACTTACATACCGTGATGCTCCGAGCGTCCAATGAAATCACGAGTAAGAGACTTGCCGAGCACACAGAGCCACCTTAAACTAAAAGGCTTCGGTTCTGAACGCATACATTCCAGCTTATTAAAAAAAATGCTTTGGAGTTTGTTTCCTTTTATTTTCTCGATAAATGTCTTTCCTTGCGACTCCTCATTCTCGACAGGAAAAAATCTGTAACCACGTCTTTTTGACAACCGTTTGACGATCCAATAATTTTACATCAAAGGACACAAGGGTGACATTTCTTCGAGAAAATACATCTTAAATCAAACTTAAGGCTGTGTTAATCTTACATGATCCATCAGTGAGACGTCCCAGCCGGGCGAAGAGATAAACGATACCTGTTCCAACTGAAATGAAATACAACCTTCACATTTAGCATAACACACTTACCTGGTCAATCATAGTCCAGTCCAAGCTATAAGCAAACAGTTCATCTTTAGCAGTAGGAATACGTTCAATAAGCGACTTAATAATCCGTTTCTTATCTTCTGCCTCGTTACTGTCATCCTTGGCCATGTCGTCCTCATCCAGTTTGACCAGTTTCCGCTTAGGAGCCGCTCCTGTTCCGTCGTCATCATCACCTCCACCAAACACTGACTCCAGCTTTTTACGACTCGCCTGGTTCGAAGGCTGTTGACACGCACAAACATTACTTAGAAAAAATTCTCACTTCAAAGCAAGTTTCAATTGAGTGTCAGAATCTTGGACTGCATTGGTTTTGCTTTACTTTGTTACGTGATTGTTCTATAAAAGAAGCAGTTTTACTCAAATAATCAGTTGCAAACCGAGGGTAACCGTGCTTCAAATCACTCTGGTTTTCAAGCGTTGCCAACACTTTGAACATTGGCACCTTGGAATAGTTTTTTTTTCACGATTAGCCGCTGAGCACTTGGTTTTGCGACAATCAATCAGAAAGCGCTCTTTTAGAATCTGCTTGAAGGAAAAAGGGGCTAAGAGCCCAAAAAGCTAGTTTATACTGTTGTTCAGACCTTTGTAGTACTACTATAAAGCTCTGCTTCAGAAGTGCTTTTATGCGGGCATTTCAAGCGTGCTGTAAGGTTACCGGTAGAGCAATACTCTGTTGAATGAGTAGAGGAAGACACTGCACCGGATTGAAGGTGCCCCGTCACCATCTTTTCCGTCAAATTAGTTCAAGTGCGTTGTTTGTAATCTTTGTAATTTGTTAATCTTCTCCATCATAGGCAATTTTAGGTCCTTTTTATTTGTTCCTGCTGAATACCCTAAAAATAGGCTCCAAATCACTTGCGTAAATTATTCGCTTGACCATAAACAACATTAATCTAAATAAGGCAATGAAAGTAAAACTGATTAGATAAAAAAATCATGTATCCTTCAATATTCTTACCATGTTACTGCTCAGCTTCATTTCAAATCCAAACGCCTTCTTAGGAGCTGGTTCCACTTCTGATTCCGGCTCTTACCCATTCTCTCGCCCTCTGTTTTTGCCGATAGTGAATGGTGACATCGAGTCGGCTGATCTAGGGCTTGGTGACCAGTTTGATACAGGGGCAGGTTCCACCTGAGGAACAAACTAGAGAACCGCAAGGCTGATCAAAATCCATTTTAAAGTTGGAAAAACCAACGGTGCAACATTAGAGGGAGGGGGTTTAATTTTGCTGTTTTTCGTATAAACTAAGTTGTTTCTTTGCCACACTGGTTGCTATCTCAGTCCTTCCACGCGAGGTTCATAGGAACTGCTGTTATATCAAAAACACGTCTGGCGTAAAAGACACATTCTCGCCCTTCCCGCTTTAAACAATGTATCATTAGTGTGAAAGAAGAAAATAACACACTAAGTGAAGAGGAAGAACATTGTTTCATCTTACTGGCTGAGGTTGTGGTATCACAGCTGGTTTGAAAGTCGGTTGTAAAGCGGGTTTAACTTCTTCCTCCCTCTCACTGTCCTTACCGTCCTGGAAAATAAAACAATTCACAGCAACCTTAGTAAGAGGAAGGATGCCGTTGAGGAGTGGTAGTTTACAGTGTTTATACTCGTGCTTCTTCTTTAACTTACAACTATTTACACCTTGCTCATTACACTTCTCATTTGGCAAATGAAACGAAAAAGGAACGCTTGAACTTAACAAATGGTAAACACCACAGCGTACACTATTGAGTTATGGATGCACACGGGAGGTTGCTAAGCACGAAAGAAGAGTAAGAGTCCCTCGAGGCGATAGCCGAGAGCGACTCTAGCTTCTCGAGTGCTTAGCAAACCTCCCAAGTGCATCCATAACTCCATAGTGTACGCTGTGGTGTTTACCATTTGTTTTATAACGTAACATTGGTACATTGTAGCTAAAGAGTTCCTTTTTATTTAACAAATCTTACGTGACCAGAAAAAACAAGCGCGCGCAGAAAAATAGTCTTTGCATTTGCTCACGTCAGCAGCGTACACCCATGGGCAAATGGTGGACGCTACATTGACCAATCAGAGCGCGCGCTTTACTTTGGTTATGTTATGTTAGATGGGGTCTAAGCGAAGTTTCCCCGGATACTTTCAACAAATGAGAATCAAAAATTCTTTGAAACACACTCC